TCAAATAAATGTATTAATAGAATGCTAACTGAGATAGAGTGTTATTACTGTTCTCTCTCTTGCCGTCTGTTGGCCATCTTCTCCTCAAAGAGTTCCTCACTCCATTTACGTGCATTCGACTGGCTCACGAGGCTTCGCACAGATGTTCCACCACCTCCATTTACACCACCCGGTGAACCTGAAAATAATGGGATCATAATTTACACCGTTTTATCACAGCAGAGGGAACGTTTCGAAGACAGGTATGGCCAATCAGAGTAGCATGAACAACGACAGAAAAACTCTGCTACTACCATCAACAGTGTGGGAAAATATGCACATAGTAAACCACAAATGTCGGTGAAAATATGAAAATTGTTAGAAAATTTTCGAAAATTCTCGTTGACTCCTGTACGTTTCTACCCAGACTCGCAAATGAGCTCCTATATTCAGTGAGGAAACTCCAGAGCTTAGCTGAGGGGAAAGCGAGCGTATATTCTTCCAACACTGCTACCATCGTAATATGCTCCTCCTCCTCCTCCTCCTTTTAGGTACGCCCGAGAGTCTTCTTGATGAACCACGCTTGGCAAGGACCAATCAGAGTATCTTCTACTCATCCTAGTCCCGTCCTGCGCATCGCTGCTCGAGCAACAACCCATGGCAAGATCGTGAAGTAATAATACAAATAGCAAAAAAACGACCTAAGCATCATACTATATGGTCAGCCTCGAATCAAACTGCATATAATGCAATAGGATTCCAATATCGAGTTTCCGTGTTTCACAATGTGATTCTCCTCACTTGAGATTAACCCTTCCACAATATTCAATTTATTTACTCCAACAAGTGTGCAAGTTTCGTCACTCCCAACGTCAAAAGCCGATTTCTATAAAAATATAAAGTATTTGGTTTTTCCATTCCGTCGGTCTTCGTGGTATGCATGGAAAGGAACCTAGGAGCTCAAAGGTGCTATTATGTGAGCGATTTCATCGTGTCTTCAACCACAATGAAAAATGCACAAAATGGGGCCTCACCGGGATTCGAACCTGGGATTGTCTCAATAGTGCTGATTGCAAACCATGCGTGGACCCATTGATGGACTATTAACATCATCTCTCAATACATTATTGCTCTATTTGAGGACCTAAACCTCACGAGACAAGATTAACCGCGCGGTCCGGGTTCGCGTCACGTGACGAGAAATGCACGCATGTGCATTGCACAATTTCCTCCCTGAGAACTGAACGGTACGTTCAGTTTCAACAGGATTGGACTTCACATGTGCACACCTCGATCCTAGGGGGGCACTTTTCGAACTCATGAGAAGTCTATAGAGTCCACAAGAACATTGGACAGTGACATGCGAACTCAAGTCACGTATGAGGTGATCCGAGATAGAAATTCTATCATACAGACAGCAGATTTCTCCCTTTTATCATAGAATTGAGAAATTTGCTGCTTTCCCGCTCAAAACAGTCGCGCCATAGCCGAATATATATCTGGTGATGTCTTTCAGACCAGGATCTTCGTTTTCCCTGGTAGCCAGTCCGAGGGGCAATCTTTCGAGGCACCATCGATTCTAGTGTCTTGGGTCTATTTAGACCCCCGAGAGCAGGTCTGATAGTAGTGATCATCAGCTACTCAAAAAGCCGTGTGCTGCGACTTCAACTATGACCCTCTGGCATCGGACCAGAAATATACAATGTGCTGATACGGGAACATATTACGTTAACTGACAACAGTTAACGTAATATGTTCCCATATCGGGAAGCTCCATTTCGAAGCTGTATGCACTGTCGTCGGACTCTCGCCCGAAACTTGGTGTATACACCACTTAGTAAATGACAAGCAGTCTACCAAGTCAGTGAGGAGAGCCTATTTCTTTCTCTACATCTCGTAACATAGTACTCCACTTCATAATGCGTATCAGAATGCAGGTTCCCTTGCTGCTGAGCGTGGTATTCAACTTGTCAACAACTATATGCTCTATCGTAGCTCAAGGCTCTCACACATAGGAAGCCATTCTGATCGTCATTATCATTAAAATCAGATTTGATCGGTGTCTAGTGCGATCGGTTAATATCAACAACCTCACACTACAGGAGGTAGACTGATGGTATCACTGTTAAGGTGTCGAGCTCTGAGGAAATATGGTACAACAGCACGTCCTTCAATGATGATACTCCACAATGCACAAGTCGTTGTAATGAGACCACCAATGATCGACATTAATTTTCATCATGCATCACGGGGAAGTACGCCATGGATTGTCGCTTAGTCACTGCCCATTTCTTTTTCGCTTTCGCCAATGTTAACTGAGGAGGCACGGAAGTGTGGAATCGGTTCTCGGCGAGTGCACATAAGAACTTACTAGAACCTCTTCCTCGACCTCTGACGAATCTTTGATCGATTTGAAGCGATTAATATTATCAACAATGCACCCATCAACTCCTAAGCGTCTTATTTGCGTATCAACGCCTTCGACTGTGCTGTTCTCCTCGCCATAAGTGTACCTACAGAAGTATAAGGTCCTCGGTTCGATTCCTAGCACATCCATATTTCCTACAGCGACAAACCTCTCTGTTTACACTCTCTCGCCCATTCCTCGTTCTTCATAATCCAGCTAGCCTCACCACAAATTCCGGTCAGTCCCGTTGCAACGCAGAACTCGATCGCAGCGTAAGGGTTCACCTACGCGACTGACTTTCATGGAAAGATCAATGAGATATATGAATACATTGTTCATCATACCTCTCGCCAAAGACTGTAGTATGAATTCCGAGTAGGGATACCTCGCAGATCTATTTCAAGTGTGGGGCTCTCGAATAGCATCAAGTCTCGCACATTCCTCCTTCGTGAGTTCGAATGCAAATGATAAGAACACTCTATCACATCAGGAGCTTCGGACATACATTCGAACTATCAACTCTCGTGAGTGTATCTCAGCTCGGCGTGAAATGCTCATAGCGGAGTTTAATTTATTCGCAAATAGAAATTCTATTATAGAATATTCGATTATAGTTGTGTAATCGATTTTGCCTCAGTGAGTCTCTAAAGGTGAATTCACTAAGATAACAATTTCAGTATGTATATAGTGGGTGCAACTTTTTAATTTGTTATGAAGGGCCGAATAAGCTCTCACATTGCGGACATCAGTGAAGTCAACCTCAGTATTATCATGCTCGTTCTCGTACCCAAACCAAACGTTGAATATAACAGGGAAGCGACTCTGCTTCTGTCTGAGCGTCACACAGAGCTCGGGGTCGAACGATGAGAACATGAACCTGCCGAGTTGTTGTT